ATAAGCTATTCTATAGTCTTTGACCAGGATACGACTTCTAAGGAGCCAATGTAGCCCAAAACTACCTTCTGATGACAGGTTGTCATCTTGCAAGTTTTTCTGTTGACATTCATTTCGTGTGAAAGTACCTGTCTGGGGCAACCCAGTGCTGCTTCTAATTCCAGCACTATCCGCTCGTCGATAAAGCCAGGCGAACTTTCAAGATTTTGCAATTTTATTTTTTCTTTCGCCCTGGAATGAAGCTACGCTTAGTTGTAGTCACACAGAGCTATTATTGCTGGTTTCTTAGACTGTCTTAGACAAATAAGGACGCAAACACACATTAGTATACTCAAATATAATTAGAAGAGATGACTTTCAGGGACTCTCTTGATTTACTATTGTTGATCTTATCCCGATCATCATTGAAATTGCGTAACTAAGATCTTCGAAGGTCGGTCCCAAGTAGCAGAAGACTGAGGCTTAATCTTGCCCACCTCGATTTCGGTGAAAACGTTTCAAGCCTTTGTTGGTCAAACTTTCTATATCTCTAATTTCACCTAAAAATGCTCCTTAATTAGTGTGTCCAGCATTACACAATCAGAGTGAAAGCTAAAGCCTGTCTGTTCTTATTATTTGGAGCTATTAAAACTAGTATCGTTTTGTTAAGCATGTATATATATATATAAATGCATATATGCACATGCTTCTAGAATGGACTATGATAGGAACTAAGCAAGCCACTCTAGACCTCACATAATATCATAGTATTAAAGTATGTATATATATATATATATACTTTAATACTATGATATTATGTGAGGTATAGAGTGGCTTGCTTAGTTCCTATCATAGTCCATTCTAGAAGCATGTGCATATATGCATTTATATGTGCCGAGGCTTCTTGACTTATTTACCTTAATTAGCTGCTATATTGCTAAAGTTGGGCACGATTTCATCGTTATCAAAGGGAGTTACCTTGATGACAGTGTCAGCCAGAACATTTCAGTAAAGCCAAACAACAGTTGGTCGAGAGGGATCTGCAGTCATCTTCTGTTAGATCGAATCTCTTAACATATATTTAAATTAATGGGAAAAGGTTGACTCAATCATTTATCTCCCTCTCTCTGTCTCATGCACAATATATTTATTTATTTCAATATTTTTGGAAATTTCATATTTGTGAGGATGCATAGTAGGCAGGAGAGAAATGGCTAATTCTCTTAGTGTTAACCCGAAGTTTATGTGAAAATAAAATTCAGCCCAAACAACGTCTGTCACCTTTGCGAATAGAAGAAGGATACTTTGTAGACTGCATCAAACTGAATATATTGGCAATATCAAACGATGATAGAGCAACGGAGATAAGACTTCTTTTCCCGTCGGGACCGACTCACCAATCTCTTAAAGTGGTATTTTACACAAAATGTCTGTCCCTATAACAATGGCATCCCAAGAGATTTTTAAAAGCTTAGCTAGACTTCATAATTTTTTGATCTCATAGCAATACTCTTACTTGCGCTCAGCTTTCCCAGTACCGGCTGTTCCGGATGTTCTGTGTCACTATCACCACTTCACCTCAAGCAAGCGATTCCAAATCGCTCAAGAGTGCTGACTTCGGTACCGAGGCACACGATGACGATCGAATCTCCAGACCAACCCTAAAGCGGTTGGTAACTTCCCCGGCCGGTCATTTCCACAACATATCGTGCACTCGATGGCGACAGACGCCATGCCAGCCATACCAACAAGAGTCGATATCATCCTCCCAGTCTGCGCTCATGCCTCGGAGCCGGAAGACGACCTACAGGTACGGGATCCACGAGTGTTCGAGGTGCAGCTATGACCCAGTTTGCTACCGATCGAGCGATTTACAAGAACAGGAGAGGCCAGAAAAGGTGAACTAATCACTAAAGACTGATTCGAACTTGTGTTTCACAAATTCCTTAAAAGTAATCTTTACATTTTTATTTAGAAGTGTATCCACCCTAGCTCACATAGTGATGACTGTAAGTCGATTTTTCCCACATTTATATGATTAGGTGTCATGTTTCCATTCAATTTCAAACAACCGTGGCTTCATAACATACTCTCACCTCGGATGGACTGGACTGCAATTTCTACCTCGCCTAGGTTTCCCCAGCACTTTGTGTAGTACATGCTACCATTAAAGGGGCTAGTAGGTCCCAGACAAACGTACCTTTCAAAACATTTTATCTATCACAATTAAGTTACTGTTGCAATTGACGATTCATGTAATTGATTTTGATGCTACAGCTAAATCTTGAATAGGAAATAGGTTGCATATGGGCCGATTCCTTTCGGGGGTGCTGATGAGACCCATGCAATGTTGAAATTGCAGACCACTTCGAAAGAATTTACTCTTCGCATAGAAACCTTTTTCGGAGGCAAGACTACATAAAATGTTATGGGATCGTGAGGCCTACACAGACCGTCGCGGAAAAATGCAGCCAGCAAACCATCATCATCTTTTGCAACAGTGCCTATTCAAGGCGTACTGATAGTATTGAAGTCTAATGCATATGAGTACATACATTTTCCATTTGGGTTGTTAGTTGCTAAATCCCAGAGAAGCGGAATCTTTCCTTCTTCACCAAAATGTTGCAGCTTCGCACAGCCATGATTTTTATCCTTTTCGAATAATAAAATTTGCAAGCCATAGGACAAATCACAAATTCCCTGTGACACTCAGGGTTAATTTCCTGTTAGCATATGATTTTTCCATTATGACCACTACGTCACGTCAGCCATTTGGATAAAGTTTAGAACCCAATTCCCATTTTTCGCCCAGCTTTGACTTGTAACATATTGGAGGTGTGCACAAACTGTAACGCACCAGCATCTGGTTTGTGCATCTTCGACCGAATGGCATATCCGTTATGGAAGAAGTAATTCAAACTTCGTGAGGTGGCCTTCGTCTTCTTCCCGGACTCCCTTCATCCAAATACGTAGGGCCCAAACTCATGTTCATTTTATGGGCAGGGTTGCAACTCAGTCCACCCTGGATGAGAATATCTGTTGAGAATAAAAGCTTATTTAAATTGAGTAGCATCGTGAAATCTATCAAGAAAAAATGGGTTTCAAAGGCTTCCTTAGTAATATCTTGTTCTATTACGTTTCATTTAAAAATAAAAGTTCGTTGAAAGGAATTCGTGAGATGGTCTCACCGAAAACTGAGACATCCTGCCTCCTTCAGTTACGGTGACAACTAACTTAACTATCGTCTATCATGCATCGTCAGAGCTGAATTTCATTCTTCAAGTTGATATTAAGTAAAAAGACTAACCGGCCCTACCCAAAATACTTACGAAGAAAAAAGTACCTAAAATACACAAATATATGTAGATGCATGTATATAAAGATTGGGTCATCATCTTTTATGCGGGGTTTTCGACCCACAGGGACCAATCTGAGTATACAGTAAGGCTTAAAGACTCATGGAAAAGCATGATTACGAAATGC